TTAATTCTATAACTGACACCGTCTTTTATGACGTATTGTTGGCCACTGAGTAATTATGGCTTTTCACTTGCTCTTGTTCATTTACCGCACCTGTTATCTTCCATCATGTACAATGTAAGAGGCTGTCGAAATTTTGTTTACGTAAAGTTTTAACCACTTGACATGTTCCTTCAATATTTTCCGCCCTTACCTAATATCCTATCCCCTCTGATAAGACTTACCTGTCCAGATTGAATATTCCAGAAACATCTTGCCAGTATTTTTTCCATCCTAGATCAGCCCCTGAGTTTCTGAAGTCTGTCGTCAGGCCAATTCTTTATAGCCTGGGTGCCATCCCCTACCGCGAGTCAGCGATAATTCCTCGGCCGGGGAAAGCAACACGCCCCGCCGACCCTGATTTGCACACTGGCTCTAATTATCTCCTCGTGTCCGGTGAAAGATATTGGGTTTGGGGCAGCCTGGGGCTGGGCGGCGGATACAGTAGCGGACACAAAAAAAATCTATCGCTTTATGAACGCTAGCGTCTGGCACCCAGGCTAATTCTTTATAACAGTACTGAGGCTGGGTAGAGACTCCAACCTGGTAGAGTTCTATTGCTATAACTTGTTAACATATCCTAAAAGATTAGTGATTGTAATGGCTGAGACTCCGATCGGGATTTCTACCGGTACCGGCAGAGACTCCAATCGGAGTTTCTATTGAGCCAAGAAATGACTTCAATTTATTCATGTTTTTTTCCTCTCTCAATCTCTGCACCCGCAGCAGGCCAGCTAAGCCATGACGACCCTCACCTCATAGAAGAAAATCAAATTCACCGGCGAGATGGTCTAACAGACCTTTACGGAAGGGCCATAACAGAGGTAAGTCCACACGATGTATTTGTCGTTTCTGTTGATCTGAGGAACATGTTGTTGAATTTGTAACATCTTGATTAATGAACAAACATATCTTTCAACTATTGTTTACTTCGATGTACACCTCATAGCATTCTGTAAAATCTATTGACTCCCTATTTGGCTATTTTACTAAGTTTGAATCCGCGTTGTTGTTGTGGAGACTTTGGAGATGTGTTGCCAGTCCCACGTATATAGTGTTACACGTTACACAGCTGCCACCTGCATCTGCACGGTTGAGTGACAGCTAGGTTCAGACGTTCAAAACACTGACACATAGGGCCAGTTTTTCTGACCTATGGAGTTAATTGCCTGACTTAAAGAATGCGTGACAAATTGGAGATGACCTAACATGCCAGAGGGGTAATTAATCTTCAGTTGTTTTAGCCTGTTTTGGGCAGGCCGATTCAAGTCAACTATGAAATGTTCATTGCACAATGATTGCATCAGGTACATTATATGTCAAATAACATGAATTAGACATGCGATGTAATCTTAGCCAATGATTCGTCATTCATAATTGTCTGAGCGACTTTCATTAATGTTAAAATACAATTGGTTGGACGTTCCCGACAAACATCCTCGTATTTCTTCTGCAGGTTGTAATCTTCCCTACCAACCTCTGCTTGGAGAGCAC